CAAGTATTTTATTAGATTTATTATTAATTATTTAAGCTTTTTTAAAAAATGAAAATGTAGTTTTCTTGTCAATGCTCTGCGTGTAATTAGGACTACGAGTATTTTAAAAGCATTTAATCACTCTATTTAGATTAGTTTACTACTTATTTAGGGACCTTATTAGCCTTAAGAAGTGAGTTACGAGAATTGGAAAGTGACTAGATCGCGATACCGCGTATAGAGCCACTAGTGTGTGTGTGTGTCGCGTTTAGGCCAACAAAATATATATATACTTAAAAGCCTTTTAATAATTAAAATTAAATATATTTACCTTTATAAAGCTACGTAATATAAAAAAAATCATGCTTTTATACCTATACAGGCAATTTACATGTAAAGGTCTAGGTGGGAACTATCCCGGAATTTTGTGGCCAACTAAGTGGCTAGCCCACTTAATTGCCAACGGGTAGAACAAGTGTTGAAGATGCATTTAACCCCGCACGTGCTCTAGCGTTCGGGATCTGACGTAGGGATAGACACCAGGCCCCTTCTGTATCAAGGAACATTTGTTTGGGGCATATCTCCCGCGACGAATCATTATGCTCACTTGGCGCACGCAGCATGACCGCCAAGGTATCCATGCATCATGCCCAGTAAATTTGTTGAGATCCGTGTTAAGCCACAAGTTACAGGATTGACCAAGTCTAATGCACGTGGCCAATATCTTTGCACAGCGAGAAGAGATGGAACTTCTGGGCCTGGCAGAGAGCATTGGGCAAAGATTTACTCCGTACTCCGTATTGATTTGTGATATCGCTATTACACGAGGCCCCTTGTTTCCATAGGGTACTCCACAGCAACCTGGGAATAATTTCCCGCAAAACCCAAGAATGACCGACATGAGAATGGAATCGAAGCAACGGCAAAGGGAGTGGAGCACAACAAATTAATAACTACTCCGCATCCAAAACGAAACGGTCAACCATTACCATCTGCTCAACATCCATGCCCGGCTTTAAGGTGTGGTCCACCGAATCGACCCCGGTCACAGCGACATCCCGAGAGTATGTGTTGGGTGTCTAGCTAGGTGTATGTATTCCAAAGCAGCGAGCACAACACTACTCACTACCATACGATTCCAGTTTGTCCATGTTCTCTGCGCCATGTGCGCCGTCCCTGAGCTGCCCCCCATGGAGAACCGGTCTGCTCAACCCCCGGCCTTGCCGTGCTTGGCTCTTCGCGATGAAGGTATAAGTAGCTCTTTTAGCCTCGTCTCTTCGGTCGCAGAGGAGCAGGTCTTTATTCACATTACTCCCGGGCCCAAGTCTGCTCTTGTATATATCGGGTTTTTGTTTCTGGAAGGATACCTTTCATTCAGCATTGCTGCGTCTCACACCTCAACCTTCTGTCTATATACACCGCGGTCTAACAATGCCTGCCGTGTCTTCGCTGCTGCTGGCCGGCTTCGTAGCCGTCAGCCAAGTTTCGGCAGCTCCTTATGCTCCGCAACCCAAACCTATTAGGAATATTGACCTGGGACCCAGGCCGTATTACCTGGTTAACAACATGACCGATGGACCTCTCAAGTCCAAGTTGAATTCGTGCTCGGAGATGACTATGAAGCCATCTACCTTCTCAATTGGCCATCGCGGCGGAGCTTGTCTACAGTTTCCCGAGCACTCCAAGGAGTCTAATATGGCCGGAGCTCGCATGGGAGCCGGCGTGCTAGAGTGCGACGTCACCTTTACCAAGGATCGCCAACTGGTTTGCCGCCACAGCCAGTGCGATTTGCACACGACCACCAACATTGTCAACATCCCAGCTCTCAATGCAAAGTGCACAAAGCCCTTCACTCCGGCAAAAGATGGAAAGCTTGCGTCGGCCAAATGCTGCACCAGTGACATCACTCTCGCCGAGTTCAAGTCTCTTTGCGCCAAAATGGACGGCTCAAACGCTACTGCTACCAACCCCAAGGACTACCTTGCCGGTACGCCAGATTGGAGAACTGACCTGTACGCCACCTGCGGCAAAGTCATGGACCACAAGGAACACATTGCCATGGTCGAGGCTCTTGGCCTTGAGCACACGCCCGAGCTGAAGGCACCCGAAGTCCCCATGCCGTTTGCTGGCAACTACACGCATGAAGTATTTGCCCAGCAGATGATTGACAACTACAAGAACGCCGGTATACCTGCCTCAAGGGTTTTGTCCCAGAGCTTCGAGCTCGAGTCGCTCCAATACTGGCTCAAGCATGAACCCGAGTTTGGCAAGAATGCTATTCTTCTCGACCAATCTGGCGACGAAGCAGGCGCGATGCCGCAAGCTGTCCAGAACTTGACCCTGTATGCAAAAGAAGGCATCAAGTCCATGGCTCCCCCAATGCACTATCTGGTTGAAGTAAAGAACGGCACCATGGTCCCCAGTGCGTATGCCAAGAAGGCCAAAGAACTGGGTCTGAGACTGATAACGTGGAGTCTGGAGCGATCTGGCCCTCTTGCTCTTGTTCATGCCCAGGGCGACTACTATTATACCGGTGTTCAAGATGCGGTGACCAAAGACGGAGACATGTACAACTACGTCGACGTTTTGGTGAGAGAGGCCGGCGTGTCGGGCATGTTCTCTGACTGGAGCGGTACCGTCACTTATTACGCCAATTGTTTTGGTATTGGTCTGAAAAAGGGGGACTAGGGGAGCGTAAAGGGGGCGCTTGGCATGATACAATGCCCTATATTTTCATGTAAATAACAATAGACACCACCCGAAGACAAAAAATCGGCTGCAGGTCACAACAAAAGTATGAAAACTGGTTCTTCTCAATGCGGAAAATGTAGCAGATTGAGCCCATGATCTCCATAAACGTTGCGTATAATGTCGCTCCGAAAATCATCAGGCTATCCTTGGTTACAAATTACTGCATGTAATTAAAACTGCAGAGTACACCCGAGGCAGTCGGACTAGCCGCTGCGTTTTGCTGGACAAGACGAAATCAAAGAAGCTCGCCAGCACACCATCCACAATACCTTCCAGTTCCGTGCCCTTGACAGACCCTATTTCTCCAGCAAATTGGTCCAGAACGGCACCAGGAAGACCCAGGGCACCAACGAGCAAGGGCCGATCAGTGTAGGATGCATGGGCCGTGCCGTGAATTGCCAGCTCAACACGCGGGCCGGCCAGACGAGGCCAAAACTGATTCCAAGTGTGGTCCGTAGAGTTGGCGGCACTGTGCCCGTACCGCCCAGCAAGAAGAAACGGCCTGCTCAAGCCCTGGCTTCGAATCGCCTCCACGAGCTGGCCGTCAAAGTCGACGCCTCCGAGAACCCTGTTGTCGTTTCGGGCCAGTGTCGCCGCCGCACCGCCGCCCACAGAATGTGCAAAAACTGCCATCTTGCCCAGGTCCAAGCGGAACCTGTCGAGAAGCGCCCAGGGAACTCGACGAAACCGGCTTCGTGCGGGTGGTCGACAATGACTGCCGCGTGGCCCTGGCTGGCGAGAGATCTCGCACCTGCTCCGTATAAAAGCCGCGAGTCTGAAAGGCCAGGCGTGAATAGCACCACGGGATACCGCTTGCGTCTTCCCTTGCCACCTCCACATGGGTTTAGCTTGACCAGGTCGCAGAGCTGCATGTCAAAGGAAGAGAAGAGCCCATCGTCGAGGCCGACTTCAGCAGCCTGTCCACCGTAATCGGCAGCCACTTTGGGCGTCATGTAGGGGACGGTAATGGACGGGCACGGCCTGCCGCTCTTTTCCACGGGCAAGAAGATGGAAAACAGGATGCGACGCCCATGGCCATGGTCGTTTGGATCGAGGGGGTCGGCGGGGCGCCTTGGGTCGGTGATTGATTGAAGTCTCATATGGTAGGGACCGGATGGCGATGGTACCAAGATGGCTGATGCCGCTGTTAAGAGAGTGAGGCAAGGTATTGACTTCATGGTTCCGAAAGTTGGTTCAACCAGGACTATGAATGTATAAATGACAGGGATAGAAGGAGTCTACTGAGGAGATGAGAGTGTAATGTACTCTGACATGTCAAAGATGCGAGCCTGTGACAATAGGGAGCCAAACTCACTATATATACTTGCATGAGTCCATGCTCAAGTCGGCACGTTGGCAAGGCATGAGGCGGAACTAGGCCGAATATGACCACAATCCGACGAGATACGGCACACCTGCCAGCAGAGCTTGGCAAGTGGCGAATGATGTAGAAGACAGGCTGTCAGTCTAAGTAACAGATGAATCTTTGCTTTGCCATTATTTGTTCTTCCTGTGGCTGAATGACCAACGCGATGCATACGAGTCCATCATTGCGCGTTGTGCTTTGAATCTCGCTCGATAATTGCCCAATTAGGAAAGTGGATATTGGTGTTCGGCGCCCAGCACCGGCCGTTTACACAACAAATACCGGCGGCATTTACGTCACGCAAGACCAAGAAATATGATTTCCGGAATTAATTGGCCAGTCGCCCACGTGATGCCTTGTTGTTTGGAGATGGCGCCAAGGGTGGGATTTGATGCTACCTGTGGACTTGGCAGCTCCAAGAAAAGAGTTGAAACATGGAAAACGAAGCAAAACTGCGGAGAAAAAAAAAAAAGATCACTACCGGCCGACAACAAATATCCATCTTGTAATTTCCACGACTAAGCTATATTCGTACCTTACTGCTTCCCATGAGCTACTGCCCAGCTCTGCAATTGACGAGGCACGCCATGGCGCCTGGCCAGAAACGCAAGAATACGGTCGTCCTTTGTCTGTCCCTGCAACACCGACGCCCAGGCCTGGATTTCTTCTCGAATGGCCCCTTGTAGCACCAGATCAAGTCTCCTGACGTCGCGTCTACTTGCGGCCAGTCGTTTGAACTGAAGAGCCGCCCCCAGCATGCCGAGAGCAACCAGGAGTATAGCCACAGTCGCATTCGAGGCATATATGGGCCGTTGACGCATCGGACTCGGCGGATTCTGAGCAGGGCCGTCTTTTGAAGAGAAATGGCCGCCATTGTCTCCTTGGCGGCCGGGGAACGGCCGAGGATGCTCCCAGCCCCGGCGATGCGACTCGTATAATTGCCGGTTGGACGGGTTGCTGAGCACATTGTGAGCCGCGACGATCAGCCGGTAGCGCTCCAGGCGAACCGACTGCGGAAGACGCCGGACTCGCATATCTGCACTCGACATGTCTGGGTCATACATCTTGACAAGCTGGTTGAACCGCTCCTTGGAGTACGCAGCGCCAGGAGCAATCCCCAGGATCTCATGGGGAGTAGGGGCGGAGCTTGCCGGCCACTCGGGTAGCCCTGGCTGTCGTAGGGAGGACAGCGAGTGTCGTCGTCTGGTGTTGGAGCTCCTTGAGCCGTGGTACATGTGCGAGGCTCTGTGGAACGTCCTGGCAGCGGACATGGCTTCCAATGACAACGACAGCAAGTCCAACTCGTGGAAATACAAGAATCTATCCAAAGTTTCTCGGGGAGGACACACACAGCTAGGCAGCAACGGATGGGCCTGACGATACTTGACGGGATTTATATCGTCACCAGTCGACAATGGCATCGCCGCTTTGTCCCCGCGGTTGTGACTCTGCCGTTGCAACGACTGTCTTGAGGGGTTGGGGCTGCAACTGGCTCATAACCGCTCAGTGCCATGAAGTTTTCTGCATGTCCCTTATGCACGGCTGTGTTGCTATCAAGGTGGTTTCTCCTCTTATGGTGTGTGTGGACGGCCCTGACGGAATGTGCAACAAGGCTGCTCTTCTTTGATAACACGCGCGTTCTGAACCTAAAATATATAGTCAATTCGTTTGCCGCTTCATCGGGAAATGGATAAATTGCTGAGGGCAAAAGTCTTTCAGGAAGTATGTGATTGTCTTGGTATAAAGACTGCCCTTGTTTCATATGCTGACCTGGCAGGTTGCGCTTGAAAGGGCAGACTCTTCACCTCGTGGTCAAATTCCTTCAGAGGCTTGACAATCTCAATGTATCATGACCAACGGGGATCAAAATCGGCGACACGGAATCGGCTCTGCCTGGTGCAGCATGGAACTGGACATGTATGTGAGCAGGTTGTGATTGGACAAAACTGGCTCGAACCCTCGCATTGAATCGGAGACAAACGAGGTGGTTTCCGGGCCGTTAATCCTTGAATGAGATCGGATCAAGATTGGATCAGCATTCAACTCGTTCCAAGCATGTAGATGCTGAAAGGCTCTGTCGGCAGTTCTGTCGGCGCATGATATGTGATCGGGGCCATGACCATGATGGTGTCTCGCCATACACCACGAATAGAAACAGTCATGAAAGGGTTTTCTTGTATACATCCGAGGATACAAATCTGTAATTGAAATCCCCCCCCCCCAGGAATCCTGCATTTACCTATTTAGAATGCACCCGTTTCTTCCCGAGTCTACTGCCAGCCTGCGCGAACGCACGTCGCCGATCTACACGACTATTATCTTTGCACAAAGTCGCCGCATCATCTCATCTCCAGAGCTGAATAGAGTGCAACAGGCATTTTGTGCTGCTGCAATTGCCTATTACAAGTGTCAAATGTCGCCGCCTGGAGCGTCATGTGGCTGCGCAGAGAAGCTCCATCTGACGCGGTGTCACTTCATCCTTCTCCATCTGCTTCCACATCTTCATCATTGTCCAGGCTGTCGGCTGATGAGTGACGGCCAATGAGTCTCCAGAGAACACGACTATCAATCCTCAGAAATGCCGCTGGGCCCGTTTGATCTCCGTACCAATCGCTCCCGATGTTGCGCCTGCTCAGCAAGCCATCTCAAAGTAAGCCGCAATTTAAGCCGCAGCCTCGTCTTTGCGTTGGGAAGCATCTCACATGACCAAGTGTTCTGGTCATGTTCCTTGTAGCAATTGCGCTCGTCGACGCGTCGCATGCGTCTATCCGACCCGGAATGCTGCCACAAAGCTCATCCTCGTCGGAAGAGGCAAGCAAAAGACGGCAACAAACTGGTCGCTCAACGAGGCTGAATCGGACAGCGAGCCTCGTCGAAAGAGCTACTTGGTGCCTCCTGGACGTCTCACAGACCAAACATGCAACATGAGCTTCTTCAACGCCTTCACCAGGACGAACAACATCACCGGCCGCGTGCGCACCGCCGGCGACGAGGTCAAGCAGCTTGCTGACCTACACTCTCGCAAAGGAAATCATCTCTTCAACGCAATCTTGGCCGTCGGCGCAACGTACGCGGGGAAACTAAACCATCAGCATGTGTACTCAAAGCGGGAGGCCCTATCAATCGCGTTCCAGCATTACTCGTATTCCGTCCAAGGTCTGCGAGAAGCGACAGACGGCATGAACTTGGGCACCGGCCCACGTCTGCCGAGGCATCAAAACCAGCGTGTTTGCATTCTGTGGACGACATTCTTTCTTGGTCTTTTCGAGGTAAGCAGTTTGACCTACTCACAGAGCCGACCTTTCTTACCGAGCCGGAATGGGTCGCCTTGTCGCGAGACATGTGGACCGACGAGGAGAATCTCGCGCCCGGAAGCAAGAACACATGGACCTCGTTGGACTCGCTACTGGACATCATGGTAATGTGTTCGAGTCTTTGTGTAAGGTGAGTTGTGCGAACACTTTCAGCCACGTAGTACGCCTTGTTTGTCGTTTACCTTGCTCTACCACCCCTAAAACAAAGCATGCGGCGGCGATGCGCCAACTTTGAAGCAGGGCGGAAGCAGTCATACGAGGACAAGACTATTCTCAAGATATACCTGCATCCGATGCCATGGTCATATCCCAAGACGGACATCGTCTCTGAGAAGCACTGAGCAGCTGGAGCGCAGCCTACATGCCCGATGCCGCGCTCCCATCATTCAGCACGTCCTTGGCTTTGAATAAGGATCCAAACCATATCAGACACTGTGCCGTAGACCCAAGTATTCTTTTGGCTCGTGTTTTCTACGCTGCCATTAGCATCCACCTCTCTGGGGGTTTCGACTACGAATTGCCCCATTGCCAGCGACGTAAACTGTCAGTCCCGGTTCTTGACGAAGCCACAGTAGTGCAACATGTCTGTGCTATTCTCTGCTTCACAGATACTGGACTGAATCATGCGACTCTATCGCCTGTTCTGTTCTTGTTCCCTTTACGAATTGCCGGTGCACGATCATACTGCCAATGGCAGCGCGACACAGTCGGCGCACTTTTGGACCAGATAGGGATCGCATATGCTGTTGCTTCCGCCATCAGGGCCGACTTGACGCAAGCGTGGAAAATGAGAGCAGCTATTCCGAATTCAGAACTACAATTTGCGTGAAAATCGAGGATAATCTAGTCAGTGGCGTGTAGTTGTTATCAGAGCCTGGCGTGCGTGTTCCCTGTCCTGAGGTAGGATTTACTATCAGAGGGTTTTAGCCACCCGAGAACAGAGGACGTACTAACAGAGTATCCGAGTAACTTTGACGCAATCCCTAAGCACGTACGCATTGATGAACTTTGTGGGCGTGCTGTATGCGCGAGAGACAAGACGCATCTGCAACTCTTTCATCGGTTTCCATCATTCGTGGCGTACTGAGTGCAGGGGGAACACGGTAGGTCACGCAGCATTGTTGAAGCAGCGGGGCTTTGCTCCAACCTATTCAACGACCATAGCCGACTGATAGCTAAAGTACCACCTCCGTGTATTAGCTGTGCGGATGCTGTAGATAGTCCCTAGAAGTTAAAGAAGCCGTGACGCCGTATATCACGTCAAGCAAATGTATGGTACAGTGTCTCCTTAAAGGATGTACGGATGAACCTGGCTATACTTGACAGGTCTATCTCGCAACTGATGACAGCTGCTTTGTAAAGATACACACATCCATGTCTCAATTGTAAAAGCCCCCATGATAAAAAAGGGTAGAGAGCCAATACGACGGGTTTATTAGATATATAATGGAATCGCCCATGTTTGATGGAATCTCTTGCAATTTGGGGTTCCTTGATATAGGCTGCAGCCTTGCTTAAGTTGAATAGCTTCGTACTTGAATATGATAGGTTGCTAGCGATACGGAACTCTCGGTTCTTGACACTTCTTCTTGGGCACGGGTGGTGAAAAACTCCTGGATGGAGTGTATTCAGTAGCCAAGCAGACCATCTACGAGTCTATGTGACGGTCTTATAGTGTACCCAGAAGGTGCGAGGGTCGTCCATAATGCGTTGAATCACGAGAGACCACACTCGGGCTGTCACCCCCCATTGTCTACTTCTGACTCTGACACTGGGCTTTCGACCCCGTAACACGCCAACAAATGGGGCAATTGACACGTGCTCGAGGTCCATGACAGACAGGCCGTCAGCTCGCTGTTCTCTGAGGCAGAGCCAGCAGGGAACTGCAGTCATGGTGACGGCTCAGACGAACTGCTTTCGCCGCATGCTCCAGAGGAGATACCACTCCAAGTTTTGGTTCAGCAAACACTGTGATCGACTCCAGCTGTAAAAAATGAAATTGAGGACCGCAGAAATGACTTGACCAACTTTTCCTCTTGGGCCATCCGTCATATGTGCCACCGATGGCGCTGCTGGCCTCCAACTCTTGAGCCACAACTTCTGCTCCAGCTTGGAGATGGTGCGCCTGGCACATCGCGCAATCTTCTGGAGCCGCCTACAAATATAGGGCAAGCTTGGGTTTTATGTCAAAATAGCACAGGCGAAAGAAACGAGACACAATGGGTCCTGACGAGGTGCCTGCTTGACCCCGCGAGACCGCTTCGTCTTCAAAGTGAAGGACGCACATTACCTAATAGGATCAAGCTTCCAAAGACAAAAACGGGGGTCTTGACCTTTGCGGCATCTTTGATACCATCCTAGGTTAACTGATTTGGCCGCATGTCGAAATTGTAAAGCTGGTGCTACCGACAATGGTATATCTGAAAACTGCCCGAGCTGAAAAGAGACCCATGGAAACGTGCTATTCGCAGTCTCAGCGGATCGTAGTTCTCAGCGCCAAGACCACGTACAAATGCTTTGAACAACCCCAGCAATCGGTCCCCGGGCAGATAGTGGCCCGTGGAATCCATTTTTTATTGTATGTTGCCCAGCATGATGATCGCGTTGTGCAGGCGCAGAAGCGACTGCCACTGTACGCAACGCTCCCCTCGCTTCATTCAACGAGAATCTGCAAGCCTTTGCGCCTTTTGTTTTCGAATCTCAGTGCTGCTGATTTTGCTTTCAAAGCTCTCACCAGCCGCTGTGTTGCCATTGCCACCCTCAACAGGGTCAATGCCAGCGTCCAGCACATCGATTTCGTAGACGTCTAGAATTGGCCAGCCTTGGCTCTGTCTCTTGTCATTGACGGCTTGGCCACCACTGCGAGTCTCCCCAGAAACGACGAGTGCCTGAATAGACTCTTGCTTGACCGTGGGGCCATAGAGGTCGTGGAAGTCTACACACCGCACCAAGATGCGGCCGTTTCGGAAGGTAGCGTGCAATTCCTTGGTTTCAGCCTGTACGGCCTTCATGGTCGTCGCCGACGTGGTAGACCAATTGAGAAGTGTGGAGAGGAAGTTGATGACGGAGCGAGAACGAACGTCCCACGACTGAAGCTGGTCGGCGTACTTTTTATTGGCGAGCAACTCGTCGCTGGAGATGCCAACCACCAGTTCACATTGCTGCTCTTCACCCGACGGGCTCTCTTGGAGATTTAACAAGAGAATGGCAGCGTGGAGAAACAATTTGTGACCAGGATGTAAATGGTCGAATGTCCCGCCGAGGCACACTGTGGTGTAGCTTTTGGTGGATTGCTTCGGTTGCCGGGTTGTACTTGGCCCAGACGCAGAAGCCGCGTCGTTTCCGATTCCTTGTGAAGAGGTGGGTTGGGACAAGGTCAGACCACCGTCAACGGCTACGAGTTGACTCTGAAGAAGCCTCTGTTTTCCTTCGGCGTACTTGAGATAGGCGGCCTGCAGCTGATAGCCCGCCTCGCTGCTAGGATGGAATATGTGCCTCCACGGATGAACCAGCGAAGCAAACGCCGCCAAGTCTAAAACAGTCGTGTTGTTTGGCTCGTAGCATCCATTTGGCCCCGGCCGGTAGTGTGAAGGAGAAGATTGATCGTGGTCAATAAGAATCAGTCGAACATCGACGGCCCCAGGGTCGTCGGCTGCCAAATCGGTGGCGATGGACTTTTCGGCGCAAATTACTGCCACCAACGAGTACAAATCGGCCAAGAGGGATTGAGAACGTGCCCAATCTACGGATCGCGCATCGTGCTCGCTTGTTGCCGCGGGATTCCGTCTTGTTAGGACTGGTGACGCGACAGCAACGACTAGCACGGGTGCTACGTCCTGAGGAGTGTTTGGCTTATTTTCATGGCTTAGTCGAGAGATGACGGCTTCCAGGGGACGTCGGTAAGCAGCTCGAACTGCATCTTGGGTTGCGGGGTTTGGCGGCGAAGGCAGGAGCAGAAGAGAGGGTGCGTTTGCAGAGTCTGGAGAAGACATGATGACCAGTGCGACTTGGAGGCCTTGGTTTGGTGGGGGATTGAAACGATATACACGCTTGACGCTTGGTGTATTCTGCGTTTATAATGATGCGGGAGCGGGAGTTTTTGGGCCGAGGTTTGAAGCCCCAGAGTCCGTCCAGGAGCTTAGGGCACCGATTGCGGGGTACGACGTTAGTGTGCCACAAACGCCGTCATTTGTACTCGCACGGTATAGCACGTGTGAAAAGCCACTAGCAACCCAGGTGCCCATTTGCTGTCAAACATTGAATACATACCAGTACTTGACTAGGTAAATTTGGAACATGAGCCACATCCCCTCAAGGCAGCGAAGGCTCCATTATCGATGGATGGCCCATCCTGGGAAATAATAAGTACCAATTCTTCATCTCAGCTTCGTCAAGTCATCCAGCAGCCTCACGCGAATACAAGCATGTCCCAATGGCCAGTCTGATGCTAGCATCTACTGCAACGGCTTTAGCCCCTACACCTGCTCCATAACCCGGAAAGAGTTCGTTCCGTCAACGTCAGGCAGACTCGGGACATTCCGAACCGGGTGCTTATGCATGCCATCCCCAAGTCCACATGTCTCTCAGTAAGCTGCGAGTAGCCGGCGCTGGCTGGGCTTCAGTAACCCCTTCCACGGCTGCCATACAATTCTTGGTAGTCTTTGCTCCCGACAACGTCCTGAACGGTTCCGGGGCCGTCTCGCCTCTCTTTCGTGATGCATGAGCAATGGGACAGCTAGATCTATGTGCTTTTTCTGCTCATCAATGGGGTAGCATCGAAAGCATATACTTTTGTTCTCTTGACGTAATTTTGCGGAGTAGGAGCCAACATGGATCTTTTCCGTTCCACATCATGACATCTGAGGGAGGGGCTGGACCCCAAATTAGCTCTTGGTTCACCTTCACTCCCTGTCGCGGCCATTACGCAACATGCTTGCATGAGGGAAGCAGCAAATTTATCATGGTGGGCGTTTCAAAAGCCGCAAGATGCCTCTGTCCTGGTCGGCGTAGAGTGATTAACAGGGACAAACAAGAGTGACCAAACATTCCAATGACGGCATGCTCAACCGGCGAAGCGAGGAACCGCAAAAGGAGCATTGCTACCGGCCATCCCTGTTTCATGATCTCATTGGGGACACCGCCAGTGCGTCCCGGCCGTGCTGCGCCATGATTGCTGCGTCAAGGCCTCGGATCACAGCAAACAGCATGGTCTAAACTCTGAAGATGTCAACGCCACTTGGACTGCCTCGGCGCTTGTCTAGCCAGATAAGTGCTACAAGCGGGGGCACTCACTAATCCACGTGAGCTATTCTCGGACCTCAACACGTCGAACGTCGTCGTT